AGGACAAAGAGGGACTTCATGTACTATACCGCAATAAGTTCCTACATTTTTAGTGAAGTTGGACAATATTAACTTTAAGTAGTATTTTGATAATCTAAGGATGCATTTTTTTGTGTGTGTGTCCAAGCAATGCATTTATTTGGTAGAATACCAGTTACCAGTCATCGAAAACTTCTGTATGTTGAAAATGTAATTTTAATAGATAATTCTTCATCTTACATATAGGAGACACAGTAAAATACACCACATTCTGAAGAAACTCCAAAAGTTACGAGATTAGGAGTGGGGGAAATTCAGATATGGGCTACAATATTCGTTACCTTGAAACTGCAGGAGACAAGGGTTCCAACCCATCGATTAATATTGACATACTTGGGACTGGCTACATTGATGAACTTAAAAATAACAACAATCAGGAATTAGGTATGGAGAGTGGGAAAGAACAGTTTTGTCAAGGGAGGAACTCTGTCATTACAGAAAAATGTTACTGAATATCAGAATAAAAGAATAAAAGGAGCTCCCACAGCAAATACTAGAGGGATGAAAATAAGAATAAATCATGGAGGATTTGACGCTCTCAAATGAAGAAGCCTTTCTGAGGACACATGTAAGCTGTAGTCTGAGATTTGTTCATGGGGTCTATGAGGAAGACTCAAAAGTGGCTCAGCAAACCCCAGATCATTATCCGATTGGTATTTCCTAATAGCACACATCAGTGGTCACATGAAGTTTTCAGACAAGAACTAAGAAAAGGGTCATAACTCAAATGCCGGCCACATATGTGGCACAACATGTGAAAGTCCTACACAAAGCCAGTCACACCGCTGCTTTGCTGGGACTCTCAAGTACAGTAATTTTCAAACATTGTGGCAAGACACCAGTGATCATCTAGCTAATCAGACAACACAAATACTTTTTTTTCAAATTTCTAGGAGGTAAAAAAAAAAAAGTTAGATACGGATGCTTTAAGCATGCTCAGGGCCAGCTTAAAAATACTCCATTCAGTGATATCTTAATACAAATTTGCATCAGTGAGAATAAACTGGCAAAATCCACCTCCTGCCATTCAACTTGTCAGATGGTGAAGACCAAAACAGAATGTTCCATTCAATTTTAATTTTTAAATATGATTGTCACATTGGGAAAATGAAATAAACACAGTAAAATGAACTGTACAAAGGCAAAGTAGAATAACAAAAAATATTTTACTAAAACATAGGATTTACAGAAGTTTTCAGACAAGCCGTACAAAATGGTGACAAGCTTTTTCTTGAAGAGAGGATTCTACATTTGACAGCAAAGTCACAATGTTATTAGTGAGGACAGTAATATTTAATGTTCCCATTTTGGTTCAAAACAATCAAGCTTGTCCATCTACAGTGTCTAAATAAAGTTAGAGTTGGCTAGAGAGCATATTCTAAAGAACTGGTTAGCTGCTTTTAACCAATGCAATCAAATCACCATAAAAAGGGGGAAAGGAGCCCATAAATTTAAAACTACGTCTCCCCTCAAAAAAAAAAAAATAAAGAAAAACACCCATACTCCTGCAGCTAACCCTGATAACTACCTTCGTTCACAGTGCTTTATACTTAAATCATGATGGGGGAAATGAATAAAAGCAGAGAGGGGCCGCTGCTTTTAAACGTTTTGCAACAATCCAGATAATACTTCTAGTCTCTGCTCATGCTTTATAACAGTGAATCAGGACAAGACATAGATTTGCTAATGTGCATTTAGTCACCGAAGGACTGAAGATGTTGGGCTTTTATTCTGTAATGTTTCTAAGACTGTGTCCATTAAATGCAAACAAAAAAGGAAGAAGTCTTGGCAGAACAGAAGTGATGCACCCTTGATGATCAGATTGATTTAAATATTATTCATGGCATATAGCCTAGTCCATGCTCTAGCTGTTTCTATGGCGTGGGCTTCGTTGGTCTTCCACTGCTCCGCTACATCATTTGCTAATTGATCGTCGGGATTGGGAGCACTTAACAAAGCCTGGATCGATAGCAGAACTGTGCAGATCTGCAGTGCTGGGGACCACTTATCTTTCAGAATATCTAAACATATTCTTCCCAACTTGTCTACATTAGGATGATAAATTTTGGTCATGAAACGTACTTTAGGTGCTGCCATCGGGTATTCTTCTGGAAGAAATAGTTCGTTTAAAAGTCCCTCCCTCAAAAGGGGAATCCTGGGGGCCAGCAAAGACCATATGAAAATAACGGGCGTTGCTCTCATCTGGTTCTGCTTTAATGCCAGGATCTGGTTCTGCCAGCAAACGCTGGGTTTCCTTGATAATCCTGCGGGGCAGCCCGGCCATCTTGTCAGATCCCAAGTTCGGCCCCCGGTCTAGTCTCCGGCTCCGTTCAGATCACGCACGAGTAGTAAGGATGCATTTTGTAATTATTAAGGCAACCTCAAAACTTACAAACAGGTACTGGCAAATAACGAATATAAAATCACTGTGGAATACTAAAAATATTTGATTAACCAAAAATAGGAAAGGGGAAATGAACAACAGAAATCAGGTGAGCTAGAACTAAAACAAATAGGAACATGGTAAAAAAAAAAATCTACAGTAATATTTAATGTAAATGAAGTAGCACTCCAATTAAAAGGAAGAAATTGTCTGACTAAATAAAAAGTGTATTAAAAGAAATACACTTTAGACATGAAAACACAAATAGGTGTTAAGTAAAATGATGGGAAAATATACACCATGAAAACCACAAGCAGGAGAAAGCTGAAGACAGAGCTCAAAACAAGAATAATCATAGATGTGAAGGAACATTTCATGATGACTAAAGAGAAATATAATAATAATGAGTATGTGCCCAATAACTTAAAAATAGATAAAGCAAAAATCAATAGAATTAAGAGGAGGAATAGGTAATTTCACACTTAGAGTTGGAGATTTTAATATCCCCTCTCTAGTAATCAATAGAACAACTAATTAAAATATCAGTAAGGAGACAGAACCAGAGTTAGCAATCTTTTTTCTGTTAAGGGCCAGAGAGCCCATATTTTAGGCTTTGTGGGTCACATGTGGTCTCTGTGGTATACTCTTTATTTATATATTAATTTATTTACAACCCTTAAAAATGTAAAAATCATTGTCAGGACATATAAAAACAGGCTACAGGCCTGATTGGTTCCATAGAATATAGTTTACTGACCCTTTTTTTTTTTTTTTAATTAATTTATTTACTTTTTAAATACATTTTTCCTCCCCCTTCTCTGTCTTGATACAGAAGATCCAAATAATACTATCAAGCACCTTGATCTAATTAAGATTTATAAAACAATCGCATAATGGACATTCTTCTCAAGTGCCCATGAAATGTTCACCCAGAGAGACCATGTACCGTAGCATAAAGCAAGTCTCAATACATTGCAGAAGATCATATAGCATATATTTTCAGACTGCAGTATTTTTAAATTAGAAATCAGAAACTATAAGATATATAGAAAATCCCCAAATATTTGGAAATTAAACAATACTTCTCTAAATAACTCATGGGTCAAAACAGAATTTATACTGGAAATTAGAATACATTTTGAATTGAATGATAATGAAAATACAACATAATTAAATTTGTAAAATGTAGTTAAAACAGTGCCTAGAGAAATTCATAGGTTTAAATGCTACATAAAAAAAGAAGAGAGAGGATGATAAAATAAATAGGGTAAAATTTAAACAGTTGGTGGATCAGGGATAAATAGGGGTTCCTTATGCTATTCTTATCACTTTCTGTAAGTTAAAATTTTAATAAAGTAAAGAGCTCCTTCCAAATCCTTAATTTTATGTTTAGCCAAGATATATTCACATTTGAGAGTGGGGAGTAAACACAGGTATGCAAGATGGGGTGAAGATATAAAGTACCTCTCCATTCAAAGTAACAACTATGTATAAAATTCTGGAAAAACCCATGGCAATATCAAATAAGAAATTTCATGTGACTACTAAAACACGGAAATCAGGATATCTATGGGGATGAGAGTGGGGAAAATCAGCACAAATCCAAAAATGTAGTAATTAATTAATTTTAGAAACAGATATTAACTGAAGAAGCTTTCAGAAGAGTAGGTTGGTTGAGTAGGTTAGTCCCTCCGTCCTCTGGCCTATAGCAAGGAGGGGGTTGGGAAGGTATTTCCCTTGACACCAGTGGTTTTCACTTTCCCTGCACATTGAAATAATCTGGGTAGCTTTACAAGTCCTGAGCCAGAGGTTCTGATTTAATGAGTCAGAAATGAGGCCCGAGCACCAGAATTATGTTTTGTATTAAAAATATGGTATAAACAAGGGAGAAATAAACTTGCCTTGAGTGCTTATTAATCTGGAGTAACTGAGAAGTTTGGTGCAGGAATTTGGCATGTAGCTCAAGGAAGAGGAGAGAATAAAAAAATATATCCAAGTGAACTGATATTTCAAGTAGCCTGTAAGTGGACTGTGAATAAATGGGCAATTGGAAAAAACAAAATCCTGGAATACAGCTCCTTTCTTTATAACAAAATAAATTCCAAGTAGATTCAAATTAAATAAAACATGGAGATAAAAAGTACTAGAAAAAGAAGGCAGATATTTTCATAATATTAGGTAAGTCCTGACAAACACACCACGAAATTGAAACTCTAAAGGAAACTCTTTAAATTTACTAAAAAAAAATTTAAAGTTATCTGTTGGTAAAAGACATTATTAACCAATTTGCAATATTGCTACAAAGTAAGAATATCTGTAGTGTAACTGAAAAGTTCCTAAAAATCAATATAATAATAAAATGGGCAAAATGAAAATAGGACCTAAGCACATATAACTTTTATAGTGAAAAACTAAACTGTAAAGCAATATTCAAACTACTATAAAATCAATGTACAAGTCAAATGTTATTTGAAGATCCTCACCAAAGAATAAATCATTTTAGTAAAAATGCTGACAAATAACTCAGCACATTTGATTTTGGCTATTTCATTCTTCAATTCACAACACATTTACTTACAATTTATTATGCGTTCTTGACTTCTTGCTATTCTCTCCTTTACAGAGGTTGAAGGTGCTCTTTTGGTACCATGTATGGTTGTTGTGGATAATTCTTTCAGTTTCCAGTGGGTCCAAAAGCCTTTTTGTGGTTTTAAACCTGTTAATAATAAAAAAAAAAAGTACAGTTACTCAAAGAAATTAGGATTTTGAAAATATCTTTTTAATTTGTCAAAGCATTTTTTATAGGTATTATACAGTTTATTCTCACAACAGTCCCGTGAGCATTGTCAGTCTCAAGTTTCTAATGAGGGAACTTCTGTACAGAAATGCTAATGTCTTTTTTAAACTTATTGTTGTTCGGTACATTTGTCCCTCCTTTTTCCCCATTGCTCACCCGTACCCCATCTCCGCTACCCTCACAGTCGATACCTCACCATTGTCTGTGCCCATGAGTCCTCTATTTGTGTTCCTTTGCTTGCCCCTTCCTCTTATTTCTCCTGTTGTCCCCCCTCCCTCTCCCCTCTGGTGACTGTTAGTTTGTTCTTTATTTTCAAGCCTCTGGTTCTATTTTGCTCATTTGTTTGTTTTGTTGATTAGGTTCCACATATAGGTGAGATCATATGGTATTTGTCTTTCACCGCCTGGTTTATTTCACTTAGCATAATGCTGTCCAGTTCCAACCATGCTGTCGCAAAGGGTAGGAGTTCTTTTCTTCTGCTGTGTAGTATTCCCTTGTGTAAATGTACAACAGTTTTTTGATCCACTCATTTACTGATGGACACTTTAGGCTGTTTTTAGCACTTGCTATTGTAAATAATGCTGCTATGAACATTGGGGTGTATAGATTCTTTTTAATTGGTGATTCAGGATTCTTAGGGTATAGTCCCAGCAGTAGGATCACTGGATTGAAAGGCAGTTCCGTCTTTAGTTTTTTTGAGGATACTCCATACTGTTTTCCACAGTGGTGGCACCAATCTGCATTCCCACTAACAATGTACTAGGGCTCCCTTTTCTCCACAACCTTGTCAGCACTTACCGTTTGTTGATTTATTTATGATAGCCATCCTGACCGGTGTGAAGTGGTATTTCATTGTGGTTTTAATTTGCATCTCTCTAATGACTAGTGATGTTGAGTATTTTTTCATGTGTTTATGGTTTCTCTGTATGTCCTCCTTGGAGAGATGGCTGTTCAGGTCCTTTGTCCACTTTTTAATTGGATTGTTTATCTTTCTGGTGTGGAGTTGTGTGAGTTCTTTATATATTTTGGAGATCAAACTCTTGTCTGAGGTAGTATTGGCAAATATGTTTCCTCATATGGTTGGTTCCCTTTTCACTTTGTTGATGTTTTCTTTAGCCATGCAGAAGTTTTTTAATTTGATGTAGTCCCACTTGTTCTTTCCTTTATCTCTCTTGCCCTAGGCGATGTATTGGTGGAAATATTGCTGTGTGGAATATCTGAAATTTTCCTGCCTATGTTTTCTTCTAGGACTTTTATGGTATCAAGACTTATATGTAAGTCTTCTATCCTTCTTGAGTTTATTTTGGTGTATGGTGTAAGTTGGTGGTCTAGTTTCATTTTTTGCATGTACTTGTCCTGATCTCCCAACACCATTTATTGAAGAGGCTATTTTTACTCCATTTTATGTTCTGCCCCCTTTGTCAAATATTAACTGACTGTATTGACATGAGTTTATTTCCAGGTTTTCTGTTCTGTTCCATTGTTCTATGTGTCTGTTTTTATGCCAGTTCAAAAAATTCAAGAAGAGGGAAGACTCCCAAACTCTTTTTATGAGGCCAGTATTATCCTAATTTCAAAACCAGATAAAGACACAACAAAGAAGGAAAACAACAGGCTAATATCACTGATGAACATAGATGCTAAAATCCTCAGCAAAATATTGGCAAACCAGATCCAGCAATACATTAAAAAGGCCATACACCATGATGAAATGCGATTCACCCCAGGGATGCAAGGATGGTACCACAAATCAATACCCACCAATCAATAAATGTAATATACCATATAAACAATACAAAAGACAAAAACCACATGATCATATTATGCTGAAAAAGCATTTGATAAAATCCAGCACCAATTTATGATAAAAACACCCAGCAAAATGGGAATTGAGGGAACATACCTCAACATAATAAAGTCCATATATGAGAAACCTACAGCCAACATCATACTCAAGGGGCAAAAATTAAAAGTTTTATTCCTAAGATCTGGCATAAGACAAGGGTGTCCACTTTCACCACTTCTATTCAAAATAGTATTGGAAGTTCTAGCCACAGTGATCAGACAAGAAAAGGAATAAAAGGCATCCAAATTGGAAAGGAGGAAATAAAGCTGTCACTGTTTGCACATGGCATGATAGTGTATATAGAGAACCCTATAGACTATACCAAAAAAACTGTTCAACATAAAAAGTGAATTTGGCAAAATAGTGAGATACAAAGTCAACATTCAAAAATCAAAAATATTTGTATGTTCAGTCAATACCAACAATGAAAATCAGAAACAGAAATTAATGTCTTACTATACAAACCAGTGAATTAGAAAAGAGCTAAATCTTCCCTTGTGCTTTTCTGACTCATAGATATACGTTAAATTCGTATATGAACATAGAAGGTTAACTTTTGTACAACTTTGGAAAGAACCTAAATATCCAACAATAGTACATGCATATGGTGTATTTCAAGAGTCCATTAAAGATATCTTGTAAATATCTGTTAACACAGAAAGATATTCATAATATGTTTTTATGTGAAGAACAATTTTGCCTTATATGCAATGTGGCTAGAGCCTAAATGTAAACATAATTGCCTCTGAGCATAAGTATAATTGTTTTAAAAATTTGCCTATCTGTGACTCCTATTATTTTAAAAATAATATTTAAGAATAATTATAGTACCCTAAAAGTAAAAAATTTACTTCATTTAAAATGTTTCACTTTTGTTCCAAAAGCTGTATATGGTTGAATAATGCATTTAACCATACTAAACATTTGTATCCTGAGCAATAAATATAAAAACAATATAAATTTCTTTGTGTACTACATATGGTTGTTCTGAAGATTATTGAGATAATTTATGTTAAAGTACTCAGTAAATGGGAAATGTGAGCTAATATTATTACTATACACAATATAGTCATACACATAGCCAGTATTTTCTCAGTAGTGAATGTTCAGTGAGGATAATTTGGTATATTCTGCTATCAAATTAGAATTTTCTAAGTGTTTTTAGATTGAATTATCACCTATTTTACATTAGTTTTCACTTGGTAAAATATGCACCAGCCTTCAGTTTGATTAACTTGAATGCTTCTTGATAGATTGTTTTAAAATATAGTGTATTAATAGAAAATTCAAGGCATTGTAAGGCCAACAGATCAGATGATTAACATTGAAAGGATTTTTTATTACTCACAGTTCCCAAGTCAAGGGAGTACTCCATGCCATGGGGGGCCACATAGGGAAGCATAGGGGTTGATCAGGGGCAGAGGAAGAGGCAAAACTATGGGCGAGATCCTTTATTGTGGTCTCTATGGGAAGGAATGGATGAAGTAGGGTAAACAGGCTTATGATTGGCCAGTCTGAGTAATTTCTGTGGCTCTGGGGCACAGGTTCTGTCCCCAATTTTCTGATACCTGATCATGGGATGAATAGAGCAAGTAGGTAGGAGCTCAGAGTGAGAGCCCAATAAAGAAGGTGCCTGTGGTGTGGGCTCTGGATCAGCTGGTCTGTATTTGAAAAGCATGCTCATCATGAGTTGTTTAATATCTCAAGGAACTGACTAACCCTGGGAGGGGCAGTCCTTCCAAGGTCATCAAAGACCCAGATGTTAAAGCGTCAGAATATGGAAAACAAAAGAAATAGTACAGTTTAGTGTTGTACTAAATCTTTCTATTTCTGGAATAAACCCTACTGGGGTCCTTATATATAAAGAGAAACTACATTTAACAAACACTTCCCCCTCCTCTAATTTCACTGTTGTTCTATTACAGTTGTCCCAATTATTCCCCCTGTTGCTCTCCATTGCCCCACCCACCCCTATTCTCACAGTCAATACCTACCCTGTTGTCGCTGTCCGTGGGTCATTTACACATGTTCCTGTATCTTATTTATTTACTTTTAGAGAGAAGGGAAGGGAAAAAGAAAGGGAGGGAGTGAAACATCAATTGGCTGCCTTTTGCATACCCCCAATTGGGACCCTGCCCTGCAATCCATGCATGCGCCCTGACTGGGAATTGAACTGGTGACCTTTTGGTTCAAAAGCTGGCACTCAACTCACTGAGCCATGCCAGCTAGGGCTCAAGAAACACGTCTGAAGGCGTGCTATACGCTAAACTATGTATTTGACACAAGGGACCCAAAATTCAATTCAACATAGTTACTCCCTCACCTCAAGGCAGATATAAAATTATTTGGCACAGTACCTGGTCCATAGTAAGCATTTAATACAAGTTGGTTTTTTCATTGCTTCTTTTCCAAATTAACCACTGGCTGAGCTGTGACTACATCCCAACATTATTTACAAATAGGAAATTCAAATTGGTAACTAAACATTGACTTTTCCAAAGAATGTCATTAACATAGGGCCATAACATCCAAATAAATTGTGTTCTATATCTTTAACTTTGAAAAATTTTAAATTTTAATGGTTCACAGCTTTACTGATATGTAATTGATATATAACAGTGTATAAGTTGAAGATTTGATTTGGTAAGACACATATTGCAACATTTTTATACTGGAAAATGATTACCACCATAGAATTAACACTTCTGTCATGTCACATAATTACCATTTCTTTTTTATGGTGAGAACATTTAATTTACATTCTTAGCAACTTTCAAGTATATAATATAGTATTATTAACTTTAATCACCATACGGTACATTATGTCTATAACTTATTCATCTTATCGGAAGTTTGTACCCTTTGACCAACATTTCCCCATTTCTCTCACACACTAACCCTTGGTAACCACCAAACTACTCTGTTCCTGTAAACTTGACTTTCTTATTCCACATATAAGTGATATCATGCAGTATTTGTTTTCCCCTGTCTGACTTATTTCACTTAGCATAATGTCCTCAAAGTCCATACATATTGTCAGAAATGGCATGATTTCATTCTTTCTCATGGTTGA